CACACACACACACACACACACACACACACACACACACACACACACACACACTGCCAATCACATGCATTCGATTCAGTCGGGGTTAGACAGATTCCTCTTCCTTGTAGGGACTACAACTACCATTTTGGCATAGTGCGACTGATCGACTCGCGCGACCTTAAACGACAAACGTGTTTTGATTTAAGAGACTGCAGTCGAATCCATTATTAAATTTATACTTTACTTCACTTTTACTTCTTCCCTTCCTGTGGTATCCTTATGATGTGCAGGTTTCGGTCCTGTGCTAAGTGTGTGGCGTCTGTGAAAGATGTGGCATGTTATTTCAGGACCCTTATAACCTCATTCAGCCAAGTCTTTCTTCGTCTTCCTCTTGATTTGAAGCCATATATTCGGTCCTATACAGTGCCAAAATAATAGCTTTTGCTCCATCTATGTAACTTTTGTCCGATCAATGAAAAAGCATCTCCAACGAAGCAAATTAATCCGATCGGTGGCAGTGTGCACTAGATATAACGGCTTTCTCTACAGTAAACACGCGACCAATTATTTCTAGATACACACGCTCCCGATCCTGGCGGCGTGTATGGCGAAAAGAATAATCATAACACCACACCATTGATGGTGTACATTAGACAAAAGTTTGCTACACGGGCAGTCAATACGACGAAGATAAAAAAAACAGACGCTACACCCAGAAGCCTAGGACAAATACTTTTAAGAAATAGTCTAAGTTCACAAATTATTATGAAGCATAGTCATGTCGTTATAAAGCTTATTGTCATAAGGTGCAATCCTCTTTTGATTTAAAAAAAAGGTAGGTAGGTTGGTAGGTAGGTAGGTTGGTAGGTAGGTAGGTTGGTAGGTAGGCAGGTAGGTAAGTAGGTATCTATCTATCTATTTATCTATACCAGGGGACCAGTTTTCTACCAAAAGAAAACCGACAAAACCATTATGAAGGTAAAAACACCAAAGTTTGCAGAGACATGGTACATCCATCAGGATTTTTTTCTGTTTTAATAACAATAAAATATGAGAGCAGAGCTACAAAGTTAAAATATACTTCCAGATACCCCCAATTCCGAGTAAAGCACATTCTGACACGAGGAGTAAAACTGACAATCAGGCGTTGACCCTGATCGGGGGAAATCTCTTTCGTGCTTTCCACGGTAGTTTCTCTCAAGTCTTTGATGCTTTCAAAGGGTTTCCCCATACACCTTGTTCTTCCAATACACCAAATATTGAAGGTCCAGTGGACCCAGGTCCGGATTGTTTGGGGGTCGGTTGTGCCTGTTGGAGTGACTGTTCTGTCACCAAATTGGTTGCTGATCCGTCCCAGAACAGTTCTGGCGTTATGTAAGCAGCCCCGTCGAGCTGGAAGTTTCTGTCCCCCTTCTGCATCGACAAATAGTTCCAAGCTTCTTTAAAATTTAGGTAAGATGACAAGGTATCAGTCAGACTTTAACGAATTACGGACCACCCTAACCTTTTCAAGAGCGCGTTGTTTTTACAGGCTGCTTACCCTGTGTTACTCGGGGCTTAGAATTCGAGTTCTATTTTTCTATGAACCCAAGCCTTTCAAAATTTGCAGCCTATTTCAAAATGGACCTTTTGCTTAAAACATTGTCTTTGTGACAGACATATATCCTGTATGCCTGAGCAAATAATGCACATTAATGCAGATCTGGAAAATTTCGTTTGTGGTTGCATCTTCTCTGCAAAAGCATGATGTTCAGGGGTTAACTTGTTTACCATCTTCCTGTTGTGCAACAGCAATGAATTAATTTAAAAACATAATCCGGATGGATGCTCCAACATTCGGTCAATCTTGATGTCAAATGGATCATAAACAAGAAAGTTAATAACATTTCTTTGAAACAATTTTTTTCTGGCCAGCTGGTATATCAATATCAATATTAAAAATGCGATAAAAATCGAAATAATAAGAAATAAAATCTTAAAAAACATAATCCTGGTGGATGTTCCAGCTTTTGGTCAATTTGGTTAATCTTGATGTCAATTGGATCATAAACAAGAACGTTAAAATCATTTCTTTGTACGAACTTTTTCTGGCCAGCTGGTATATCAATATCAACATCAAAGACATTATAAAAATCATCATAATACAAAATCAAATCTTCTAAACCTGATACGTCGAAAGAGGAACAACGATATCTTGTAGGGAAACGTCTTCTGTCTTGCAATAAGGTATACCAAACACTTACGTCAATCTGCCATGTAAGAACAAGTCTGTGAAAAGCGTGTCTGATAACTAGAGTAGAAAAAAAAGCAATATCAATAACGTTAGTAAAAACAGCCAAAGATAGTAAGTGTGCCGATACGAGAGAGGCAACCCATTAAGTTCGATGCACAGTTAATTGTCCAAGCGAATTCCTGTCGGTAAAATCAGACAGAACAATGCGAAGGTGTGGAATGAAAAGAATACCAGCAAAATCGAAAAATGCTTAACGCCAGAATCTGAACGATAATTCTTTTCTTTCAA